AGGAGGCTGACCCAGCTCGTCTGTACTGACCTGCCATCATGTCCTGGAACTGGACCATGACATCCTCAGAAAGTGCAGATGCTTCCTCCAAACTCGACTCTAACAGAAAACCATCCAGGTCCTTCTTCAGGAGAAGGTGCTTGTCCTCCTGCCTGGTCCAGAATTCAACTGGTCTGTTTTCAGTCTGTGGAGGTTCTGGTTCTGGTTCTTGCACATCCACACAACAGGTCCTTCCCACCTGTTCATAAACACGATGCTGTGGGAGTTCTGGAGGAACAGAAGAACACAAAGAACCAGGTTAGGTTATAAACACGAGGAACATGTGGTCCATCCCGGAACACTTGAATTCCACCATCAGCACCCACCAGAACCCATTTTTTGTGGTTCGTCTTCTATCACAGAGTAAGAGAATCTTGTTTTTACCTTAGTTAACATGGCTATCGTCAATGTTGGTGGCATCATTTCCGTTTATCTGAGGGCAGTAGAGGACGATATCGCCTTCTGCGTCCCACACCTTCCCTGTTGATCACCACTGACCCGTGAACGGTCCAGTGTGCAAACTCCTTCATCCATGTTCATGGTCCCGGGTCCACGTCTCCTTATCGCAATCACTTCTTTAATCCATCTTTTGAATTTTTGTTGTTCTGTGGTTATGATCTCTGTGTTGTACCGGACCTTGTGCAGCGGTCTGTTACGGCTCATTTCTTTATTGTACTTTCTGCTTTACTCTTGCAACGGTAATGTTGCATCTGTGTTAATATCTCATTAAATGCTGCTTGTTTTTAAACTCAACTCAAACTTTATTTTAGGGATGTACATAGTTAACCGGTTAATTGCTGTTAATGTTATAACTGGGTAAACTAGAGAAATGAGCTTGTCACATGACCAAACAAATGAGCTCAAACAGGAAGCGGTTAACAACAAGGCAGCATTGGATCAGTTTATTCTTAAGTTATTTCATTCTTGGAACACAATAAGCCTCACATCAGAGCACCGAGCCGGGCAGGACACGGCGCAGCAACCTGAACCGAGACCAGCAACAGGTCAGTGTGCGGTGACGCTCCTTGTGTCTGACTCCTAATTTGAAATGTCAGTGTAATTATTTAGTTTAATGTAAGAAAAAAGTTTGTTATTTTTTAAGCCGTGGCCTCCAGGATGAGCCTATAAGCACGCAATCACAAGCAGCGCTGTGTGTTTGCTCCCAGACGGTCCGCTTGATCCCAGACGGTCCGCTGTGCAATGCGTTCTGAGTCTGATGGACATTCCAGCTGTCATCCCACTCTCCCTTTACTTCTGGTTCATAACGAACATAACGTAACGAATGTGGGACTTTAGGTGTGCGTCAGATTTATATTAAAAGGAGTAGACGGGAAAAGTGCTATTATTTATAGAGCGGAGGCAAATGTTTGTGTCCGTGGGGGGTGGGGGTGGGGGTGGGGGGGTTCCTGGTTAACCGGCTATCAACCATTGAGGGTCGTCAATAGCTGGTTAAAGAAATTTTGGAAAACGTGCATCCCTACTTACAGGTACAAAGTAACACCAAAGCGCTGTACAGGAAATAAGAGGCTAAGCTACATGATTAAAATACATTAGTAAACAATAAAAAGTGGTTTAAAACGGAATAAAAGAAATTAGTACACAATAAAACAACAAGCAGGTTAAAAATGACAATACTACTGGCAGGAAGGAAAGGCCAGGTCACATAAAAACGTCTTCAGCCTAACTTTAAAACCTGCCGCTGAAGTGGAAGCCCTCACAGAGATAGGTAGGTCATTCCAAAGCTTAGGGCCTGCCACAGAAAAGGACCGGTCACCTCGCATCTTTAAGATGTTCTGGGCATAGGAGACAGTTCTCTGAACGAAGTGCCCATACCGTGGTATGTGTCTGTAACAAAGACTGCAAGTAAGATGGAGCTAAACCATACAATGATTTAAAAACCAATAAAAGGATCTTAGAACGAACTCTAAACTCAACAGGCAGCCAGTGCAGTTATCCAGGACCGAAGTAACATGGTAAAACTTCCTTTTACCCACCAGAAATCTGGCAGCTGTGTTTAACACAAGTTGTAACCTTGTTAAGGTGCCCTGCTTCACCCCAAATAAAACCGAGTTACAATAATCAATGCGGGTTGTAATAAAAGCATGAACTACTGCCTCCAGATCACGTCGTGTCAGGAATAGTTTCACTTTGGCAAATGTTGTAAATGATAAAAAGAAGAGGAGACAACTCCATTTACATGTGAATCAAAACCCAACGCAGTATCAAATTTTACTCCAAGGCTAACAACTGATACCTTTACCTGGGAATTGAATGGTCCAGCCACTTGGCCCAAATAGGATTGCCTCCGTCTTTTCCTCATTGAGACACAAAACATTTCCCAGCATCCACCTCTTTACTTCAGACAATCTACCAAATTGTTAACAGCACAATTATTTCCTGAATCCAAGGGTAGGTAAAGCTGACAATCAGCAAAAAATGAAAGTTGATGCTAAACCTACAAAAAAATGTTTCCTAGAGGAAGGATATAAATCAAAAAGAGTAAAGGCCCAAGCACAGAACCCGAGAGGGTGCTCGCTGCAGAACCACAAAGGCGGAGCTGCACCATAAGGTGGAGCTGCACCAGAGTCAGCCCCGCCCACTCACGCAAACAGCCTAGCCCACTGACTTCTTCTGTTTTTTTTTTCTTTAATTTTATCGCAAACTAACCTGACCCACATCAATTACGGCTGTTACTAGTTTACAGTCGTTAATGCTATGTTCTATGCTCCAATTAAGCAAGATAAATATAACTTGCTACATGACAAAGCCTGAATATATCTCGAAATAAAAAGGTTTCTTTTAGCAAATATGTCCATAGCCGCTCCAACAGAACCAGCCTAGATGAGCATTTCAGGACAAATCTTTGGTGGGTTCTGGTAGTCCAGTGGCAACATCGTCACAGTTAGATTTTGCTTTCCCCTCAGCTGATGTTGGTTCGACTCTTGGTGGGGTCAGCAGCTATCTATTTAGCCAGCTGAAACATTTTATTTGTTTATATTTTAGTTGTAATGTTTATTTTCTGCAAAATATTTATGTCTCTAAAAGTTCTTTGAATTTGGTCGTTCCTAAACAGCATTTTAGTTGAAACTCTGCTCACAAATGGACTCACACTGGCTAAATAAACGAATAAATAAATAAATAAACACATTAGTCATTATATGTTAAACGGTATACCAGTAAATTGTTGTAAACATAGTACTGGCAAGTGTAGCTAGAAATGAAGAAAAAAGTTTGCGCCGTTGCCCGGAGGCGAACCCGTGCAATACTACATGCCAAACTGACTGCATAACCACTTCACCACTACATCTGATAACAAGGCAGTGACATCACATGTTATTGTGCCATCCAGTGTGTCTTTGTAGATGGGATGCATGATTTTTCGGCGGTGTCTCAGTAGAAGTCATTTCAGAAATAATTTGTCAGAAAATTCACAGAATATCCAGATTTGAGAACCAAGACCAAACCCGCTTCGGAGGAGAGGACCAAATTGAAGCTGAGGTGGGAGGAAAATGCGTGAATGAGGCCAAAAATGGCTTTGGCGTGTTTCTTATGAGGAAATGACAATATAACATGATAAAAAGTTCCAAAAGTTAGATTTTTAATTATATGGAACCTTTACAAAAACTGTTCAATTAACCTCTCAACTCAAGTCCTCAATCTTGCATTTTAGATTATACGAGCTATAACACCCTCTTTGGTTCCAGAATGCTATTAAGTCTGACAACTGGAAGGAATTGGACTGACTCTGATGGAATGGGCGGGGCTGACTCTGGTGCAGCTCCACCTTCTGGTGCAGCTCCGCCTTCTGGTGCAGCTCCGCCTTCTGGTGCAGCTCCGCCTTTGTGGTTCTGCAGCGAGCACCACTTGCAGAACCCTGTGGGACACCCCAGGGAAGACTGGAGCAGGCAGATGAGAACCCCCCTGTTAAGATAATTATATATGTTTTCTTTTATCATGCTTTCTGCTTTTATTACATTTAAAGATTTTACCATTTATGCTGAAACAGTTGCTGTATTATTTGAAGTCTCACGAGGAGACAGAATGCTGAGCCTTGGTCCTGACCTAATGTGACCCAAGGACATCTTCTGACTTGGACAACTGCTGACTCGTGCAACTACCTGTTGCACATCGTGTGATTAGACACTGATTAGAAAAACATTATGCTCATTGTGTGATACTGAATGCTCTTTGTGTGAAACTTGTAACAATTACTGAATACTGAGAGCTGTGTTTCCCCCACCCTTTAGATCAGCTCATCAGGCATGTATCTAGGGACCCTCCCAGCTTGTAATAAATAGAGGACGCTTGGATTTCAAAGGCAGAGTGGTTTTGGAGGATCTGCCGGCCCAGTGGAGACTGAGCTGTTCGGACCTTTTTCCATTCTCCTTGAGCATAAAACAGAATTCTGACTTTTGTGTCTCTTTTCTTCTTTGTGTATGGTGTCTAGGGGTTTAAACCTGACACCCCCCATCCTAACACTAATCGTTCTTATGGATAAGTACGATCTACACCATTGCAAAGCCAAACCAGAAATCCCCACATATTGACTAAGGCGGTCAAGCAGCACATCATGATCCACCGTGTCGAATGCAGCAGCAATATTGAGCTAAATGAGCAGGACAACTTAGCCACGATCAGTAGCAGGTTAAATGTCGTTCATGACTCTCACCAGTGCTGTGTCAGGACTATGCAGTGCTTTAAAGCCAGAATGGAAGGTTTCCAGCATATCGTTGTTCAGAAAGTTCAATAGTTGTTCATAGATGCGTTTTTCTAATATTTAGCTCAAAAAGGCAGCCTAGAAATAAGTCTGTAGTTAGCTGGAAGGGATGCATCTAGACCTGGTTTTTCAAGACAGGATGGACAACAGTCTTTTTAAACTCATCAGGGACAACACCAGAAGTTTACTAAGATTAATTATCTGCACAATCATTGAAGCTATTGCAGAAGAAGCTTCTTTAGACAGGCGTGGGGGGACAATGTCATCTGGAGAATCACTTGGTCTGATCTCAAACATTATCTGATTTAAGTCTTCCAGAGACATCTGTTGAAACGAGGTCAAGCCCCTAACAGCAAGAGTAGGAGAGTCAAACCCAGGGGTGTGAGGTACAGCAGCCCGTAGGGCAGAGACCTAATTTACAAAGAAATCAGCAAATCCATCACAGGATGTAGCTGATCGTGAAACAGTCGAGAAGATGAATAAGAAAACGTGACACACGATCCAGAGAAAG